CTTTTATATCTTTTGTGCTTGACAAAATTGATGGCTTTATCACTTTTGCCTTAAAAAGTTGATATGTTTCTTTTGATTAGTGTGTTTGCCGCGTCAATAAGTCCAACTGTTTGTTCTGTGTTGATAGTGATCAGAAACTACCATATTCCTTATGAATCCGTGAACCTCTTTTAGTTTTGTCCCGAATGTCCTTTTCACATTCTTTATTTTACGCCCTCTTATCACCTTAATAATAGATTTCGTAAAAACTATCATAGGAGATCTTTAGAACAACTAGAGAACCCCCTCCTTGTAAATCATTCAGTCCAAGCGCCTCCCACGATCATATTGCGTTCTGCATCCTTTAGATCCAACATCTTTAGGAAGTAGTAACATTAGCATATATAATGGCTTATTTGGAATGATCATTCTTCAAAAATTTCTGCGGTGACGCGGTTTTTGATGCAATTAAGCCTGGTGCATCATAATACGTATTTTCTGCAATTAGTATCCCGGATCTTTTACATTCCAGGAGCTTGAAATTGTACTTTATAATGGGGTTGTATAAAGAGGGTACTCAAATAGTGATATTGTAACTGTGAACTGTCATCTGTCTGTAAATGGATTTCTATAGAGGAGTATGCCCTAAAATACAAATAATATCCTCGGATGGTGATATTTATTATTGAAAATTATTGGAATTCTATTCCAGAAAACAGACCAACTGTTCTGGAACTTGAAAAACTTTATCGGATCTATCAAAGATAGAAGCAATAACTAAATACTTTGCATTCCCATCACTACAGCTCTTTTGAGCACCATTAATGGATGTGTGTTTTAAACTAGAGAGATTTAATTTAAGGAGGAGACGAAGTCACAAAAAAGCATTTTACGAATAGAACAAAAAAATAATCAAAACCATCTAAAATGCAATTTACAAAGTTGAATTTACTTCAAATTAATATCGACTCATTTATTTTAAGATTTAATCAAATGCCACTTCAGATTGATTTAAATACATAAATATTTACGAGCATCAGTTTATATGTTCCAAATAAATGAAGGTAAATTTGTTGTTATTGTATAATATTAGACAATATCGATATCCATAAATTATGCTTGTTTTCACAGAATTTGATATACAAAGATACTCTTGATATAACGATCCTTCGATATAACGAAGTCAATTAAAATCGCGATCTAATGAACTTGAATTCAGGAACAATTTATTATAAACCATATAATAATTCCGCTCGATATAATGTATAATGAAGTTTTTTGAAATTTTTACATATAGACCCGACTACTTCGTTATATCAAGAGTGGCTTTGTAGCTATCGATATTAACAAACGTCAGTTTACATGTATCAAACGAAGATATTTATACTTTTTTGCTTTGCATGTGATATAGATTATGCAAAATCAACAAGTACTAGTTTAAAAAAAACGATTAATATGAGATGCATATCATGGCTTGACTTCACTCATCAAACGGTTCTTCACCTGTTACAATTTCGTATACTTATCATTCCAAAACTATAAATGTGGCTTTTCATTAGTACCTCTGGACTCATATAAGGAAGTACTCATAAAATCTAATCTCTTGATTAAATTTTTCCATTTGTTAGAATGATTAATCCGGCATCAGCTATTTGAGGATGGTTCAACATTAATATATCCCAGGATAAAAGTCACGGTGTACAAACTTTTCACTGTGAGCGGTTTTCAAATTCTCAAGCATATTATATAAATATATCTTCTTCTCAAGTCAATATTTCAAAGTTATAAATTAATAAATTCGCCATCTTTTGTTAAGTCATCACTATAGAATATTCCTTAGTAGCTGAGTTTTTAACTATGACATTAAACATTAATGGACGATCTGAAACTATTTTTGAAAACATGATTTGTTTTAGAATACAAAAATCAACTTGATTTTATTGTGAATTAAAAACATTCATTTCACTTAATTTGGATCTCACAATTTTGTCCAGAATCAAATACAGCAAACTGGGCATAACGGTGCGTTGAGGTGAAAGCTAGTGATGGGTAAATATGCGTAAATTCGAACACTATACTTACTATACGCAACGCACTGTATATTATGTTTCAGTATTTATATCGATATGTATAGTTGTACATGATACAGTACAACTAATTATGACTTTCCGATTTATCATGCGCACTATCGCATAATAATAATGCCCAAATCGACAAAATACGTATAATGATCAGCCAAAAGTACATGTACTGTGTGCTAAAGGTCGGTAGAAACACAGCCACACGTAAAGTGACCGAAACTAAACTTTTTTTAAAATAGTTTAGCATCTTTACTGTGTGTCCACTTTAGTGAAAGCTATTGTTCTTGTGCATATAACTGCATATACTTACATGTATTTTCTTTATAAAATCTTTGTTGACTAAAGAAGGATTAAGTTAATTAAAGAATCCGGTATTTAAAGAATCCGGCATTGCAAATCGGTATTCTATGCATCACTAATAATGGTGATTCAAAATCTGCTAATGTTAAATACGTATTTTCATTAAATAGCGTATTTTTCTTTTCCTACAAAAAAATACTTTATCGTCATACATACATGTACATCCTTGTAGCATCCAAGCAGAGTTTTAAAATGAGATAGTTGTTTTGCACGAAAAAAATAACATCATATTTTATCAAAATGTAACCAAATTTATGCGCGCAAAGTGAGTAGCTTAAATAGGCCTTGCACGCAATCATATAAAGAATATACAAAATAAAAACATAACTATTTAAAACAGATTAATTTTTCTCCTCATCAAATTAGAGACATATTTTAAATTTAAACTAACCGAATTCAATCCACTCCCTCACAAGTCAAACCCTTCCATAACGACCTCAAATATCAAAGTTAATTTGTCCTTATAAAGAGAATGTCATTATATAGAGGTCAATTTCACCTATAGTAATATATGAATCATTCTAGAAAATTTGATCGCTAGAGAATTCAGTTATAAAAAATGTTTTTATAGGGAGTTTGACTTGTATCGCTATACATGCATGCGCATTTTATATACATGTACATGAATATATTACTGATTAAGAAATTTATTTATTATAAGTATGTAAATTCATGTACATGTAAAATGTACTTTAGTAGCATAGCATGCGACATGTTTGGATTACAGCTTTGAAAAACGACCATTACAGTACATGTATTACGAAAATTCGAAATTGCAAATAATAGAAGTTTGATTTGTTTATCGTAATGTTTAACGTTAATGTTACCTTTAAACAAAAAATTTAAATCATTGGATTTGTATTATTATCGTTATAATTGTTTGGTAAATCCTTCAGATGAAGGCATTTCCATGTAACCATACCTTTTTTGGGGTGTTCAACTAATAAAAAAACATTCATGGCATTTTGAAAATAGTACATTTACTATTTTTAGAACAATCTTATGGTTGTAGGACTTTTCTGAATATCGCATTTTTGCCTTATATTGTAAGAAGACTTTTTTTAAGTACGCCAGTTCGAAAGCATATAGCAAAATTAGTCTATTGGGAAAATCAGTTCCTTTATTAATATATGAAGCAAAGTTTGAATTGATTAATGGATTTTCATAACACGCTATTCTCTTTTTGTGTAAGAATTCGAATAAAATTGGTTGCATTAAATTAACAACTAGCCCTATGAGAAAGTTTGAGCTGTAAACCCCTGTAACCACTTGTGATTATTGCAGGTGATTACAGTAATGTTTACAGATGGTTACAAGACATGCAAAATCCTTGTAATCTGTTACAAGCTACAGGTCGTTACGCACTTTTGACATTTTTTTAGATTTTTTTCAATAACCAAAATCCCTCCTCTTGATCAGAAAATAAAACTTAACCCACTTGTATAAGATTCCAAATCTCTAATAATCAGAATTATAATGTTAAAGTGATGAAAATGATATAGCTGACATTTCTAAATGGATCAGGTCCACTTGTACAATAAATTTGGGACTGGATAGTAGCAATACATTCTTAGTCAAATGCCACTATATTCACATTCACGGTCTACATCTGTAGATGCAAGTAAAAAAAAAAGCCCTATTTTATTAATCTTTATAGCAATATTTGAAAGAGAATAATCGTTCTTTTAAATAAATTTGGTTTCTAATTATATGCATCTATTAGCAAAGTTGTATACTGTGAAGATTTATTTTAGAGATACATGTACATTCGGTGGACAAAAGTTTGAAATCGGAAATGATTGATTTAAAATCATTTCCGATTTCAAACTTTTGTCCACCGAGTGTACATATCTATAAGAAATGCATGTAAAACATACATACAAGGAAAGAAATGTACATGTATCACAATGCTAAAAATAAACTTACAGATTATTTATGTATCGATTTTAAAGTAGTGATAAATTAAAATTTTTCAGTTTAATTAAATGCGCTGTCCCGCAATGAAAATACCCAAAACGTACTTAAAAATGATGATTATACGTCTAATTTAATCTATAATCTAGGTTATTAATAATTGATAAAATGTTCTTTTTATAATAGATAAAAAAAAACTATCTGTTGTTCATATATCATTCACATTAGTTTGTTCATGTCGATGTATTTATTATTCGCATTGGTAACGGTTGTGATTTTTTTTATGACTTGAAATTTGTTATACAAGTGTAACTGTAAACTCTTATTTTAGTCGCCGAATATAGTAATCTTATTCTGATACGAGACAACAACTATTGATATCGATATGTTTATTAAGAAGAAAGAGATGATGCGGCACAACAGTCTATTGTGAATTTGGCAAAACGGATGCACTCCTAACACTCTACATAACAATACGTATAATACATGTACATCTATTATTATAATAGTTCTCAAATATAAAATTATTTTTATTGATAAATGCAATATAAATAGCCAAACGAAATACCTACATAGAAACCAGGAATTAAAAATATTATTCAAAATGAAAGCTTTACTGATATTTTATTTATATTCGTCAATATTCTGCATTATAGTAGAAGCAATAGCTTTTCCGAAAGAACACTCAAAGTATGTAAAATAAAATCAATTAATTACTAAATTTAAATATCACAACCGTATTAGATTAAACTGATAATTTTTTTAGATTTATTAAAGATGTAAATAATAGGAACGAGAACCAAAACGTAAATAAACTGAAGCCTCGCGCAACAGCAACAACATCATCTACACCAATGACAACTGGAAATGGTGGTGGCAATGGTGGCACTCTACCCCAACCTCAACCAACTATACAGTCGCAATCTCAACCTCAACCGTCTCCACAGCCACAGCCACAAGCAAAATCGTCTTCTCAGCCACAACCTCAATCACAATCTCAAGTTCAACCGTCTCAACAATCTCAGCCTCAACCTCAACCAACTCAACAAACACAACCACAACCTCAACCGACTCAACAATCGCAATCTCAACCAAACCTTCAACCGTCTCCACAGCCACAGCCTCAATCTAAACCGTCTCAACAATCACAATCACAACCACAACCTCAATCTCAATCTCAACCAAAACCACAACAACCATCTCCACAGCCACAATCGCAATCTCAACCGTCTTCACAAACGTTTCCACAAGCTCAACCACAACCACAATTAACAACAACATCACTTGTACCAACAACATCGAATGGACCAACAATTATAGGAAATGGAGGAAGTGGAGGAAATGGAGGCGGTGGAGGAGGTGGAGGAGGTGGAGGAAATGCTCCACAGCCACTTCCGTCTTATCCAAATCCAAATCCAAATAATAATCCCCAAGTTCCTATTAAAGCAGTTCAACTGCCTAGCCAATCTCCTACATCTACAACAAGTGCAAATTCAAATCCACAATCAATCATTCCAAATATTCCATCTCAATCACAATCACAGCCACAACAGCAACCTTCAGCTCAACAAAATTCACAACCACAACCATCTCAACAATCTCAAACTCAAATTCAACCGACTCAACCAAAACCACAATCAACAACATCAATTTCACCACTTACACAAGCAGCATCATTTCCACCAACAATGACAAATGTAGGAAGTTTTAACGGTAATATAAATGGAGGAACTATTACTTATCCAAATCCAAATCCAAGCAACCAAGCCCAAATTCTTAATAAACCAATTTCACCGCCTAGCCAATCTTCATCGAGTGTAAATTCGAATCCACAAACAATCCTTCCAAATATTCCACAACAACAGTCTCAATCACAAAAATCACCGTCTCAACCGTCTCAAAATTCACAACCTCAATCTCAACCGTCTCAAAATTCACAACCTCAATCTCAACCGTCTCAAAATTCACAGCCTCAGTCTCAACAGTTGCAAAATTCACAACCTCAGTCTCAGCCGTCTCAAAATTTAAAATCTCAATCTCAATCGTCTCAAAATTCACAACCTCAGTATCAGCCATCTCAAAATTCACAACCTCAATCTCAACCGTCTCAAAATTCACAACCTCAATCTCAACCGTCTCAAAATACACAACCTCAGTCTCAATCATCTAAAAATTCACAACCTCAATCTCAACCGTCTCAAAATTCACAACCTCAATCTCAACCGTCTCAAAATTCACAGCCTCAG